GTTAGCCAGGATGGTCTCGATCTCCTGACCTCGTGATCCGCCCGTCTCGGCCTCCCAAAGTGCTGGGATTACAAGCTTGAGCCACCGTGCCCGGCCCTTGAATTTCCCTTTTGAACAACAACAAATAACAATATGACCCAGACGTGGCGGCTCACACCTGTGGTTCCAGCTACTCGGGAGGCTGAGGTGTGAGAATTGCTTGAGCCCAGGTGGTGGAGGCTACACAGAGCTATAATCACACCACTTCACTCTAGCCTGGGGGACAAAGTGAAACCCTATCTGTAAAAAAAAAAAGAAAAGAAAAAGAAACAATATGATCACAAAGTAGATATTCATGGTGTTTATTTTCAATACTCTTTTTTCTGTTTTTTTTTTTTTTTTTGAGATGGAGTCTTACTCTGTCACCCAGGCTGGAGTGCAGTGGCACGATCTTGGCTCATGGCAACCTCTGCCTCCTGGGTTCAAGCGATTCTCCTGCCTCAGCTTCCCCAGTAGCTGGTACTACAGGCACGTCCCACGATGCCCGGCTAATTTTTTGTAGTTTTTAGTAGAGATGAGGTTTCACTATGCTAGCCAGGATGGTCTCGATCTCCTGACCTCGTGATCTGCCCACCTCAGGTTCCCATATTGCTGGGATTAGGGGCGTGAGCACTTTTTTTGAGGCAGAGTTTCTCTCTTGTTACCGAGGCTGGAGTGCAATGGCGTGATCTCAGCTCACTGCAACCTCTGCCTCCTGGGTTCAAGCGATTCTCGTTCCTCAGCCTCCCGAGTAGCTGGGACTACAGGCGCCCGCCGCCTCGCCCGGCTAGTTTTTTGTATTTTTTAGTAGAGATGGGGTTTCACCGTGTTAGCCAGGATGGTCTCGATCTCCTGACCTCGTGATCCGCCCGTCTCGGCCTCCCAAAGTGCTGGGATTACAGGCTTGAGCCACCACGCCCGGCCTTTATTTTATTTTTTTATTTTTTGGTTTCTTTTTTTTCGATACAGGGTCTCACTCTGACGTCCAGGCTGGAGTGCAGTGATGGGATCATAGCTCGCTGCGGCCTCTACCTCCTGGGCTCAAGCGATCCTTCCACTTCAGCCTCCTGAGTAGCTGGGAGTACAGGCGTGCACCACCACACCTGGCTAATTTTTTGTTGTTGTTGTATGTAGAGATGAGATTTTGCCACGTTGACCAGGCTGGTCTTAAACTCCTGGACTCAAGAGATCCTCCTGCCTTGGCCTCCCAAGGTCATTTCAGACTTCTCCTCATTAGGCGCACACTTATTAGAGGGGCTTGCAGGCATGTGGCACCCAGAAGACGTTTATTTGTTCTTTCAGAGGCTGAGGCTGCAGTGGCCACCCAGGAAACCTCCACCGTCAGGCTAATGGTCAGCTCCAAAGCCGTAGCGACACAGCACACAACCACCCGGCCTGTTCCCAACACCTCCCAGCTGCCTGGGGCCACCCCTGGGCTCACCACGGCGGAGACAGTGACGATGTCTCACCAAGGTAAAGGCTGGGCCTTCCCTGGGCCCCCCTTCCCCAGGAGGTGGGCCCCTTCAGTGGCCACGAACATTTTGGTCACGAGATGGAGTCCAGGGTGGCGTCCTCACTCCCTTGCTGACCTTCTCTCACTTGGGCCATGTGTCTCTGGGCCCTCAGTTTCCCTATCTGTAAAGTGGGCCTAATACCAGTTCTTGCCCTCTTTGCAAGGATTAAATGGGCCAAATCATATGAGGGCCGGGTCCTTCAGGCTCCTGGTTCCCAAAGTCAGCCACACACAGTCTGGGTCCTGAAATTTTATCAAGGCACGTTCGCTGCCTCACCTTCAGGCATCCGCCCAGAAAGGCCAGGACTCAGGCAAGGAGAGGGAGGGATTCCTCAGTACGCAGCTTTTCGCAGAGGCTCCAAAAGGCTAAGGAATCCAGTACATTTTAACACAATTTTACAACTTTTTTTTTTTTTTTGAGATGGAGTTTTGCTCTTGTGGCCCAGGCTGGAGTGCAGTGGCGCGATCTCGGCTCACCATAACGTCTGGCTCCTGGGTTCAAGCGATTCTCCTGTCTCAGCCTCCGGAGTAGCTGGGATTACACGCATGCGCCACCACGCCTGGCTAATTTTGTGTTTTTAGTACAGACAGGGTTTCTCTATGTTGGTCAGGCTGGTCGTGAACTCCCAACCTCAGGTGATCCGCCCGCCTGAGCCTCCCAAACTGCTGGGATTATAGGCATGAGCCACCACGCCTGGCCTTTTCTTGTTTTGTTTTGTTTTGTTTTGTTTTTTGAGACAGAGTCTCGCTCTCACCCATGCTGTAATGCAGTGACGCGGTCTCGGCTCATTGTAACCTCCGCTTCCCAGGTTCAAGCGATTCTTCTGCCTCCGTCTCCCAAGTAGAGTAGCTGGGATTACAGGCACCGCCGCCATGCCTGGCTAATTTTTGCATTTTTAGTAGAGATGGGGTTTCACAATGTTGGCCAGGCTGGTCTCAAACTTCTGACCTCAAGTCATCTGCCTGCCTCGGCCCCCGCCAAGTGCTGGGATTATAGGCGTGAGCCACCACACCGGGCCTACAATTTATTTTTTGGTGACTCATACCTGTAATCCCGGTGGGAGAATGGCTTGAGCCCAGGAGTTCAAGTCCAGCCTGGGCAACACAGCAAGACCCTATCTCTACTACAAAATAAGTAACAAAGAAACTAATTTTTTTTCTTTTAAAACCCAACTATTCAACATGGTAATGCAATATATTTTTTAAAATTCTTTTTTTTGAAACAGAGCCTCTCACTGTTGCCCGGGCTGGAGTACAGTGTCGCCATCTCGACTCACTGCACCCTCCGCCTCCCGGGTCCAAGTGATTCTCCTGCCTCAGCCTCCCGAGTAGCTGGGATTACAGGTGCCCACCACCATGCCCGGCTAATATTTTTGTATTTTTAGTAGAGACGGTTTCACAATGTAGGGCAGGCTGGTCTTGAACTCCTGACCTCGTGATCCACCCGCCTTGGCCTCCCAAAGTGCTGGGATTACAGGCATGAGCCACGGTGCCTGGCCAAAACTTTTTTATTTTTATTTTTTTGGGACACGGTCTCACTGTGTACCCCAGACTGGAGTGATAGAGCACTGTCACGGCTCACTGCAGCCTCAACCTCCCGGGGACCAGGTGATCTTCCCGCTTCAGTCTCCCAGGTAGCTGGGACTACAGGCATGAGCCACCACACCCAGCTAATTTTTGAATTTTTTTGTAGAGACGGGGTTTCGCCTTGTGGCCCAGGCTGGTCTCCAACTCCCGGGCTCAAGCGATCTGCCCACCTTGGCCTCCCAAAGTGCTGAGATTAATGCAATTTAAACAAAATTTTGGCCAGGCATGGTGGCTCACGCCTGTATTCCCAACACTTTGGGAGGAAAAGGCGGGCAGATCACTTGAGGTCAGGAGTTCGAGACTAACCTGGCCAACATGGTGAAACCCCCAGTCTACTAAAAAAACACAAAAGTTACCTGGGCATAGTGGTGGGCGCCTGTAATCCCAACTCCTTGGGATGCTGAGGGTAGAGAATTGCTTCAACTTGGGAGGCAGTGAATCAAGGTCATGCCACTGGACTCCAGCCTGGGTGACAGAGCAAAACTCTGTCTCCAAAAACATTTTTTTTTTTTTTTCCAAATCATCACAGGATAGCCAAGGCCTGGCCACTTACTTCTGTAAATAAAGTTTTATTGGAGCCAGTGGTCCAGTGAGGCCGAATCCTGCAGGTGTAAGATCATAGCCTATCCTTGAAAATGTTGCTATTTTGTTCATTGGGGGATTTTTTCATTAATTTAAATTTTAAAAAATAACATATTAAAGGCCAGTGTGGAGGTGCATGCCTGCAGTCCTAGCTACACCCAGAGGCTGAGGCAGGAGACTCGCTTGAGCCCAAGAGTTGAAGTCCAGCCTGGGCAACATAGTAAGACTCCCATCTCTAAAAATAAAAATAATGCATTAGAATATTATTGGATTCCTGGGCAGGGCACAGTGGCTCACGCGTGTAATACCAGCACTTTGGGAGGCTGAGGCAGGCGGATCACATGAGGTCAGAAGTTTGAGACCAGCCTGACCAACATGGTGAAACCCTGTCTCTACTAAAACACAAAAATTAGCCAGGCGTGGTGGCACACACCTGTAATCCCAGCTACTCGGGAGGCTGAAGCATGAAAATCACTTGAATCCAGGAGGCGGAGGTTGCAGTGAGCTGAGATTGTGCCATTGCACTCCAATCCTGGGGGACAAGAGTGATACTCCGTCCCCACCCCCCCCAAAAAAAAAGGAATATTATCAGATTCCTAAGCTTTTTGGCTCCTCCTTTAGTTTGGGGACTGGGGTGAGGGTCTGGCTGTCTTCGTCCTATAAGACCTGGCCTCACTGTCCTCCCTGGATGTGATGAGACCCAGGTATGGGTCAGGACGTCATTCATTTGTCCACCAGAGGGCGCCCAACCTGCTTTGAGCTGCTGGGATATGGTGCTCCTAGACTTCTAGCATACAAAAAAAAATGGCACATCAGCAAATTTCAGACCATTCTTTTTTTTTTTTTTCCCCCAGAGTAGCTGAAACCTTTGTTCAGTTACAAGCAGGATAAAATGGAAACTGCCTGGGAGAGGCCAGGAAACCTTCTTTCTTTGGGGAGGTGGGGCACTGCTAGAATTCCAGACCTCCTCAAATTTGGCAAAGAAGCCATTCATTCATTCGTTCGTTCGTTCGTTCGTTCATTCGTTCGTTCGTTCATTCATTCATTCATTCGTGTAGAGAGGAGGGAGTTCTGGCTATGTTGCCCAGACTGGTCTCAAATTCCTGGCCTTAGGTGATTCTCCTGTCGTGGTCTCCTAATGTGCTGCGATTACAGGCGTGAGTCACCGTGCCTAGCTCTGGTGGACTTGAAATGTTGACTTGCCCGGGGCCTTTATGTTGAATGGCCCAGGTCTACTTGCATGGTTCTGTACCGAGGTTATCCCCATCCCATAATTCGTGGGACAGTTGATGCAGGACAATCAGCCTCTGTGCCATTCAACCTCAGGACTGAGCATGCTGGGCACTGTGGGGTCCGAAGGTGGCTCCCCTGTCCCCTTCAAAATACACTCATTGTTTTTCTTTTCTTTTTCTTTTTTTTTCTTTTTGAGATGTAGTCTTGCTCTATTGCCCAGGCTGGAGTACAGTGGCACGATCTCGGCTCACCGCAACCTCTGCCTCCTGGGTTCAAGTGATTCTTCTGCCTCAGCCTCCTGAGTAGGTGGGATTACAGGTGCCCGCCACCACGCCTGGCTAATTTTTGTATTTTTAGTAGAGACAGGGTTTCACCGTGTTGGCCAGGCTGGTCTTGAACTCCTGACCTCAGGCAATTTGCCCACCTCAGCCTCCCAAAGTGCTCGGATTACAGGTTTGAGCCACTAGGCCTGGCTTTTTTTTTTTTTTTTTGAGAGGGAGTCTTGCTCTGTTGCCCAGGTTGAAGTGCAATGATGCGATCTTGGCTCACTGCAACTCCATCTCCCGGGTTCAAGTGATTCTCCTTCCTCAGCCTCCCAAGTAGCTGGAATTACAGGCGCCCGCCACCACGCCCACCTAATTTTGTATTTTTAGTAGAGACAGGGTTTCACTATGTTGATCAGGCTGGTCTTGAACTCCTGACCTTAGGTGATCCACCCGCCTCAGCCCGGACCAAAATATGCTCATTTTAATAAAATGCAGAGATAAGTAGACGAAAATTTCACCCACAACCTTGTCAACCTCCTGGAATGAAAGCCTCTGCGACCCTGCCCTAAAGACTCATGAATGTGAGGCTCCAGAACCTTCTCAGGCTGGGCTCGGTGCCTCATGCCTGTAATCCCCACACTTTGGAAGGCTGAGACAGGAGGATCACTTGAGTTCAAGACCAGCCTGGGCAACATAGCCAGACCCCTATTTCTATCCTCCCAAAGAAAAGCCTTCTTAAACTGGAATTGAGTCCCGCAACTTTGGTAACTCACAAATAAGCCCGTGTGGCGTCTCGCAGACTTGGGAAATTCTCCAAGTGCCCAGGGAGACGCGCTGGGCACTTTCCTGGCCGTGACTGCCGTCCTCTGCCTGCTCCATTTCTTGGTGGTCTTCCTTTAGACCTGGGCCTCACTCTTGCTTCTCTCCTGCAGCTCTGGGCGACGTTGCTGGCAGAGGAAATGAGAAGAAACCCAAGAGCGTGGGGGCTCTGTCCATCGTCCTCCCCATTGGTAAGTGCGGGCCGGTCCCCCAGCATCCCCCAGGTCACAGCCTCCTGCAATGTGACCTCCTGCCTGGCCAGTTGGGCCTGTTCACCTTTTCTCCCGGGCAGGGTACAGCCCCACTGAGTGTCCCTTATCACCCCGACAGCCTCTCCCGGCTTCGGGCTGACAGTGACAAGATCAGACAGCTAAGGGGTCAGATGGAGGACGTGGAGCTGGGTCCTGTGCTGCGGACATGGCCTCACCGAGACTTGAGTGCCTTCTGGGGAACTGGTTCTCTTGCAGGGGACTGTGTGGAGAGGCGCACTCTCGCTGCCTCACTCATGCTCATCCTAACTCACATCACATTTCTTTTTTCCTTTTTTCCTAAATTTTAAGAAAAAAGAATTTTAATTTGTTTTAGAGACAGAGTCTTGCTCTGTCACCCAGGCTAGAGTGCAGGGGCGCGATCATGCCTTGCTGTAGCCTCAATGTCTAGGCTCAAGTGATCCTCCCACCTCGGCCTCCCGAGTAGCTGGTACAAGCCACTGTACCCTGGTTCCTATTTCTTAAAAAGTCACAGCCTTGTGTGTGGCTAATCCTGGACAGAAATATGGAAGAAGTCAGCTACTTCTGGGGTGTGGCTCACCCAGTGGGCTTCAGGTTAGATATTCCTTATACTTACGAGGCTGGGCGCCGTGGCTCATGCCTGTAATCCCAGCACTTTGGGAGGCTGAGGTGGGTGGATCGCTTGGGCTTAGGGCTTCGAGACCAACCTGGGCAACATGGCGAAACCCTGTTTCTACAAAAGATACAAAAATTAGCTGGGCAGGTGACACTTGCCTGTGGTCCCAGCTACTTGAGGGGCTGAGGCAGGAGGATTGCTTGAACCTGGGAGGTCAAGGTTGCAATGAACTGAGACTGCGCCACTGTACTCCAGCCTGGCAACAGAGCAAGACTCCGTCTCAAAATAAATAAATAAAAAAAATTCTTATGGATAGATTTGCCTATTTTCTGTTTGTTTGTTTTTTCTTTTTGGTTTTTTTTTTTTTTTTGAGATGGATTCTTGCCCTGTTCACCCAGGTTGGAGTGCAGTGACACGATCTTGGCTCACTGCAACCTCCACCTCCCGGGTTTCAAGCGATTCTCCTGCCTCAGCCTCCCGAGTAGCTGGGACATAGGCGCCCCCCACGCCCGGCTAATTTTTGTAGTTTTTAGTAGAGATGGGGTTTCACTATGTTGGCCAGGCTGATCTTGAACTCCTGACCTCATGATCCACCCGCCTCAGCCTCTCAAGGTGCTGGGATTATAGGCGTGAGCCACCGCGCCTGGCCTGTTTATTTTTTGTTTTTTTGAGATGGAGTCTCGCTTTGTTGCCCAGGCTGGAGTGCAGTTGCTCAACCTCAGCTCACTGCAACCTCCGCCTCTTGGGTTCAAGCAGTTCTCCTGCCTCAGCCTCCCGAGTAGCTGGGATTACAGGCGCGCACTGCTATACCTGGCTGGTTTTTATAATTTTAGTAGAGATGGGGTTTCACCTCATTGGCCAGGCTGGTCTCAACGCAAAAAAAAAAAAAAAAAAAAAGCCGGATATGGTGGTGCATGTCTATAGTCCCAGCTATTCAGAAAGCTGAGTTGGGAGGATCGCTTGAGGCCAGGAGGTTGAGGCTGCAGTGATCTATGATGATGCCACTGCACTCCAGCCTGGGGCACAGAGCAAGACACTGTCTCTTTTTTTTTTTTTTTTTTTTTGACGGAGTCTTGCTTTGTCACCAGACTGGAGTGCAGTGGTGCAATCTCAGCTCACTGCAACCTCCGCCTCCCGGGTTCAAGCAATTCTCCTGCCTCAGTCTCCCGAATAGCTGGGACTACAGGTACCCGCCACCACGCCCAGCTAATTTTTGTCTTTTTAGTAGAGACGGGGGTTTCACCATGTTGGCCAGGCTGGTCTCGAACTCCTGACCTCATGATCTGCCCGCCTTGGCCTCCCAAAGTGCTGGGATTACAGGTGTGAGCCACTGTGCCCAGCCCTCAAGACTATCTCTAAACAAACATAAAAGACCAGGAGTCCAGGTTATGGTACGATGCCCGTGTTTTCGCTCCAGCCATGGAGCTGGGTCTCTTGTCTTGAGCAGAGCTATGTGACAGAGTGTGCCTCTCCCTACAGTGCTCCTCGTCTTCCTCTGCCTGGGGGCCTTCCTCCTCTGGAAGAACTGGCGGCTGAAGAGCATCAACAGCATCAACTTTGACAACCCTGTCTATCAGAAGACCACAGAGGATGAGGTCCACATTTGCCGCAACCAGGACGGCTACAGCTACCCCTCGGTGAGTGACCCCCTCTAGAAGGCCAGAGCCCATGGCGGCCCCCTCCCGGCTGGAGGCGTAGGATTCTCAGGCCGAGGCTTCCCCAGCCCTCCAGATCGAGGACGGCCTTAGGTGAATGCTTCTGTGCGCTCGTTCAGAATGTCAGCGGACAACGGCCTCGGTGATGTAGAGGAACGCTGGATCAGTGAATAGAGTTCCATCAGATGGTGACGGGGCAAAGAAAGTCAAAAGGAGTTCAGAGGCCGGGCGTGACGGCTCACGCCTGTAATCCCAGCACTTTGGGAGGCCAAGGTGGCGGATCACCTGAGGTCAGGAGTTCAAGATCAGTATGCCCAGCATAAGGAAACCCCATCTCTACTAAAAATACAAAAAATTAGCTGGGCGTGGTAGCGGGCACCTGTAATCCCAGCTACTTGGGAAGCTGAGATAGAAAAATCGCTTGAACCCGGGAGGCGGAGGTTGCAGTGAGCCGAGATCGCACCACTGCACTGCAGCCCGGGTGGCAAGAGCAAAACTCCATTTCAAAAAAAAAGGCGTTCAGAGGCCGGACATGGTGGTTCATACATGTAATCCCAGAACTTGGGGAGGCTGAGCAGGTGAATCACCTGAGCTCAGAGTTCATGACCAGCCTGCGCAGCATAGCAAGACCCCATCTCTGCAAAAAAATAAAAATTTAGCCTAGACAAGCACCTATAGTTACAGCTACTAGGGAGGCTAAAGCAAGAGGTCAAGACTGCAGTGAGTCGTGATTGCACCACTGCACTCCAGTCTGCGTGACAGAGCAAGACTTTGTCTCTTAAAAAAACAAAACAAAACTCAAAGAAGGGTTTCCAGAGGGCTGGGAGGGAGGAAGGGAGAGGAGGTGTTTTTTGTGTGTGTTTTTGTTGTTGTTGTTTTGAGACAGGGTCTTGCTTTGTCACCCAGGCTGGAGTGCAGTGTTGCGATCTTGGCTCACTGCAACTTCTGCCTCCTGGGTTCAAGCAATTCTCATGCCTCAGCCTCAGCCTCCTGAGTAGCTGGGATTACAACACTATGCCCGGGTAATTTCTGTATTTTTAGTAGAGATGAGGTTTTGCCATGTTGCCCACACTGGTCTCGAACTCCTGACCTCAAGTGATCCACCCGCCTTGGCCTCCCCCCGTGCTGGGATTGCAGGCGTGAGCTACCATGCCCGCCTTGATCTTCAGACAAGGGGTTTAGGGTAGGTAGGTTTCTCTGAGCCAGAGGAACAGCCTGTGCGAAGGCCCTGAGGCTGGACCGTGCCTGTTGGGTTTGAGGCCGTTGTAGCTGGAGCAAAGAGGGGTAAAAAGGCAGGAGAGGACCAGGCTGGTTGTGCAGAGCCTCGTGGGCCACCGGGGGGAGGACTTTGGCTTTTGCCCTGAGAGCGGTGGGAAGTGACTGAATCGTGTACTCACCGTCTCCCTCTGGCGGCTCCTGGGGGAACATGCTGAGGGATCAGGATGTGGGAGGCTGCCGAGCCCAGGAGGTGAGAAGTAGGTGGCCTCCGGCCGAGTTTCCTGAATGCTGGACTGATCGTTTCCGCTGTTTACCATCTGTTGGCAGAGACAGATGGTCAGTCTGGAGGATGACGTGGCGTGAACATCTGCCTGGAGTCCCTGGAGTCCGTCCCTGCCCAGAACCCTTCCTGAGACCTCGCCGGCCTCGTTTTAGTCAAAGACAGAGAAGACCAAAGCATTGCCTGCCAGAGCTTTGTTTTATATATTTATTCATCTGGAAGGCAGAACAGGCTTTCCATGCAGTGGCTTGGGTTGGGATTTTTGGTTTCTTTCTTTACTTGTGAAGGAGAAGAGAAACAGGCCCAGGGGTGCCAGGATGACACGTCCGTTTGGAAGTTTTGAGTTTCTCTCCACCGTGACACAATCCTCAAACGTGGAAGATGAAAGGGCAGGGGATGTCAGGTCCAGAGAAGCAAGTGGCTTAACACACGACAGCAGATGTCACCAACGGGACCCCTGGCCCTGCCTCGTCCACCAGTCTCTAAGCCGAACCCTTAAACTCAGGAGTCAACGTGTTTACCTCTTCTACGCAAGCCTTGCTCAACAGCCAAGTTAGCCTTTGCCCTGTCACCCCCGAATCAGGACCCACCCAGTGTCTTTCAAGCTGGGCTTGTACCTTCCTCAAACCGGGAAAGGGATTCATGGCGTCGGAACTGATCTGGCTGAATCCGGGGTGGCACCGAGACCAAACTCATTCCCCAAATGATGCCACTTCCCAGAGGGAGAGCCTGAGTCTCTGGTCACCCTTCATATTTATTAAGTGCCTGAGACACCCGGTTACCTTGGCCATGAGGACACGTGGCCTGCACCCAGGTGTGGCTGTCAGGACGCCAGCCTGGTGCCCGTCCTCCCCCCCCCACCCACTTCCATTCCTGTGGTCTCCTTGCACTTTCTCAGTTCAGAGTTGTACATTGTGTGAACTCAGCATCTGTGTTGTTTTGCACTGTTTTCTGTCGCGTGTGTTGGGATGGGATCTCAGGCCAGGGAAAGCCCGTGTCAATGAATGCCGGAGACAGAGAGGGGCAGGTTGACCGGGATTTCAAAGCCGTGATGGTGAATATTGAGAACTGCCATTGTCTTCTTTATGTCTGCTCACCTAGTGCCTCCACTACTATGCAAATGCCTCCAAGCCATTCACATCCCCGATCTTGTCATTGATGGGTATGTGTTTAAAACATGCATGGTGGCCGGGCGCGGTGGCTCAAGCCTGTAATCCCAGCACTTTGGGAGGCCGAGACAGGCGGATCACGAGGTCAGGAGATCGAGACCATCCTGGTTAACATGGTGAAACCCCGTCTCTACTAAAAAATACAAAAAACTAGGCCGGAGCAGGTGGCGGACGCCTGTAGTCCCAGCTACTCGGCGAGGGCTGAGGCAAGAGAATGGCGTAAACGCCACGGGAGGTGGAGGGCTTGCAGTGAGCTGAGAATCCGGCCCACTGCAACTCCAGCCTGGGCGAGAAAAAAAAAAAAAAAAAAAACAGAAGCGAGATCCGTCTCAAAAAAAAAAAAAAAAAAAAACAGTGCAATGATACACGCGCCGAGGTTGCATTGGCTCACGGCCTGTAATACCCAGCACCTCTTGGAAGGCCCAGGAGGGCGGATCATCTGAAGTTAGGAGTTCGAGACCAGCCTGGCCAACATGGTGAAACTCTGTCTCTACAAAAAATACAAAAGGTAGCCGGGTGTGGTGGTGCATACCTGTAATCCCAGTGACTCGGGAGGCTGAGGCAGGAGAATCGCTTGAACCCAGGAGTTGGAAGTTGCAGTGAGCTGAGATTGTGCCATTGCACTCCAGCCTGGGTGACAAAAGCAAAACGTGTTTCAAAAAAAACAAAACAAAACAAAAAACACATGCCTGGTGCATCAGCAGCCTGTGGCCTCTGGCCAGGCATGGCGAGGCTGAGGTGGGAGGAGGGTTTGAGCTCAGGCATTTGAGGCTGCTGTAAGCTATGATTATGCCACTGCACTCCAGCCTGGGCAACATAGTAAGACCCCATCTCTTAAAAAATGAAGTTGGCCAGACACAGGTGCCTCATGCCTGTAATCCCCTGTAATCCCAGCACTTTGGGAGGCTGAGTCAGAAGGATCACTTGATCTCCTGACCTCGTGATCTGCCCACCTTAGCCTCCCAGAATGCTTGCATTACAGGCGTGAGCCACCACGCCCAGCCAACGCCTGGCTACTTTTTGAATTTTTGGTAGAGACGGGGTTTCACCATGTTGGTCAGGCTTGTCTTGAACTCCTGACCTTGGGTGATCCGCCCGCCTCAGCCTCCCAAAGTGCTGGGATTACAGGTGTGAGCCCCCGCCCGGGCCGGCCTCCCTCCCTTCTTTCATCTGTGTGTGGATTGGACTCCCCAGGAGAAGGCCCCAGACGGGGAGGATTTTCAGGAGTTGGAGACCAGGCCTGAGCAACAAAGCGAGATCCCATCGCTACAAAAATCAAAAAGTTAAAAATCAGCAGGGTGCAGTGGTACATGCCTGTGATCCCAGCTACTCGGGAGGCTGAGGCAGGAGGATCGCCTGAGCCCAGGAGGTGGAGGTTGCAGTGAGCCATGATCAAGCTACTGCACTGCAGCCTGGGCAACAGATCAATACTCTATCTCATAAATAAAACTATATAAAAAAAGTAAATCCTCCAGTCTGGATCGTTTGACGGGACTTCAGGTTCTTTCTGAAATTGCCCTAAATGTTACTGTTGCACTGATGACCCGAGAGAGAGTGACAGCCTCCCTCAGATTCCCGGTGTGAAGATGTCACAGGGATTGGCTGTTGTCCCCAGGGACGAAACACTGTGCCCCCCCCAGTGCAGGGAACCATGACAAGCCTTTCTGCTTTCGGAGCATGCAAATGCATCCCTGATAGTGGGGTTTTTTGTTATGTTTGCACTTTGTATATTGGTTGAAACTGTTATCACTTATATATATATATACGTATATATAAAATCTATTTATTTATGCAAACGTTGGTTGCTGTATTTGTTCAGTGACTATTCTCGGTGCCCTGCGTAGTGGGTTATTGTCTCTGAAATGCCTCTTCTTTATGTACAAAGATTATTTGCACAAACTGGACTGTGTGCAACGCTTTTCGGGAGGATGATGTCCCCGCTGTATGTATGAGTGGCTTCTGGGAGACGGGTGTCACTTTTTAAACCACTGTATAGAAGGTTTTTGTAGCTTGACTGTCTTACTGTGATCAATTAAATTTCTTAAATGAACCGGTTTGTCTAAACTCAATGCACTTTCTTCTGTTCGCTCATTTCTTTTTTTTTTTTTCTTTTTTTTTTGAGACGGAGTCTGGCTCGGTCACCCCGGGCTGGAGAGCAGTGGCATGATCTTGGCTCACTGCAACCTCCGCCTCCCAGGTTCAAGCAATTCTCCTGCCTCAGCCTCCCTAGTAGCTGGTATGACAGGCGAGTGCCACCATGCCTGGCAATTTTTTTTTTTGAGATGGAGTCTTGCTCTGTCGCCCAGGCTGGAGTGCAGTGGCGCCATCTCAGCTCACTGCAACCTCTGCCTCCTGGGTTAATGCCATTCTCCCACCTCAGCCTCCCAAGTAACTGGGGCCACAAGCGCCCGCCACCACGCCTGGCTAATTTTTTGTATTTTTAGTAGAGACGGGGTTTCACTGTGTTAGCCAGGATGGTCTTGATCTCCTGACCTTGTGATCTGCCCACCTTAGCCTCCCAAAATGCTTGCATTACAGGCATGAGCCACCACACCCAGCCAATGCCTGGCTAATTTTTGAATTTTTGGTAGAGACAGGGTTTCACCATGTTAGTCAGGCTGGTCTTGAACTCCTGACCTTGGGTAATCTGCCCGCCTCAGCCTCCCAAAGTGCTGGGATTACAGGTGTGAGCCCCCGCCCAGGCCAGCCTCGCTTCCTTCTTTCATCTGTTTGTGGATTGGACTCCCCAGGAGAAGGACCCAGAGGGGGAGGATTTTCCCAGAACTCTGGGCAACATGCAGTCTCCATGGGCCGCCACGGTACCTGGCCTGTGCTGTGATGGCTGACCTGGTGAGTGTGTTCTCTGCTGTCGCTTCTCTGAGTTGGAGATTTTGTCAAGTCCTCTGCTCGTCCATTCATTCACTCGACAAATGTTCAGTGCTTACTGCGAACCACGCTCTCTCGTAGGCTTGTGGGACACTACAGGGGATAAAAGAAATGAAAGATGGGTGCGGTGGCTCACGCCTGTAATTCCAGCACTTTGGGAGGCTGAGGTGGGCAGATCACAAGGTCAGGAGTTCGAGATCAGCCTGCCCAACATAGTGAAACCCCGCCTCTACTAAAAATACAAAAAAATTAGCCAGGCGTGCTGGTGGGTGCCTGTAATTCCAGCTACTTGGGAGGCTGAGGCAGGATAATCGTTTGGACTCAGGAGGCGGAGGTTGCAGTGAGCTGAGATCACGCCACTGCACTCCAGCCTGCCCGACAAAGAGAGACTCCGTCTCAGAAAAAGGGTTAACATGGTCAATTTTATGTGAGGTGTATTGGACTACAATTAAAATCACAAAAAATGTTCAAGATGAAACGGGGGGACAGTGAGGTAACCCAGAAATAAGCAACAGCAGAAAGTGCTACCACCACAAAACCAGGAGAAGGAAGACGTGGTTTCTGGAGCCTGGGAGCTGGTGGGAGCCAGAAACTCATAGGAGGGAAAGAACTGCTGCACATGTGGTCCCCGGCAGAGGGAGCGGGAAAGAGTCCAGCCCATCCCCTGCTCCAGGCTCTGTCTCCCACCACTGCCTCCCACGGCCTGAACCCAACAGGGACGGGCTGATGAAGCCCAGGCAATGGTGCCTTACTGGGTGGATTGAAGGAGGGACAGGGTCGGCCTGGGGGTGACACGACAATGGGGTGGTTAGGCCCACAAACGTGGCCGGGGGTCACGGCTCATGCCTATAATCCCAGCACTTTGGGAGCCTGAGGCAGGAGGATTGCTTGAGCCCAGGAGTTCAAGAGCAGTCTGGGCAATATAGCAAGACCCCATCTCTAAAAAACATTCTAAAATTTCCAGGCTCACGTCTATAATCCCAGCACTCCGGGAGGCTGAGGCAGGCAGATCACCTGAGGTCAGGAGTTCAAGACCAGCCTGGCCAAAATGGTAAAACCTCGTCTCTACTAAACATACAAAAATTAGACAAGTGTGGTGGCGCATACCTGTAATCCCAGCTACTCGGGAGGCTGAGGCAGGAGAATCTCTTGAACTCGGGAGGCTGAGGTTGCAGTGAGCCAAGATCGTGCCACTGCACTCCAGGTGACAGAACGAGACTCTGCCTTAAAAAAACAAACAACAACAAAGAAATTTTAAAATTACCAGCCAGATGTGATGGTGCACACATGTAGTCCTAGCTACTTGGGAGGCTGACGTGGGAGGATCTCTTGAGCCCAGCACTTTGGGAGACCAACCTGGGCAGATCATCTGAGGTTGGGGATTTGAGACCAGCCTGACCAACCTGGAGAAACCCCGTCTCTACTAAAAATACAAAATTACCCGGGCGTATTGGCGCATGCCTGTAATCCCAGCTACTCAGGAGGCTGAGGCAGGAGAATTGCTTGAACCTGGGAGGCAGAGGCTGCAGTGAGCTGAGATCCCGCCATTGTACTCCAGCCTGGGCAACAAGAGCGAAACTCCGTCTCAAAAAACAAAACAAAACACCACAAAAATCCAAAAAGAGCAGACTGACCAGGCCACCTGGGTTCATATCCTGGCTCTGCCACTGACTCGCTGGGTGACGGGCACCTCAGAGCCTCAGTTTCTCCACCCGACAATGGAGACAAAGCTAATCTCCCCCTCCCCAGGGGCTCTGGAAGTGGGATGGGATGGGGGCTGCGCAGGCGCCCGGAGACAAAGGCAGGGCCTGTCATCTTTCCCGCGTCCACAGGGTGGCACTTCCTTCCTGCCTTCCGTCTTTTGTTTTGGGAAGCTTCCAAAACGCCCCTGGGAGGGAAAATGGAGCAGCCCACACAGGAAGCGTCCCGGAGCCTGCACACATGCGCTCGATAATTGCTTGATTGACAAAATTGGTGCTCAACCAAGTGGCAAACAGGATAAGTGGGCTCAGATGGCCAGGAAAACGGGAGGCCCTGGGAGGTGGCGGCTCAAGGGTGCTGAGACTGAGACGGGGTGGGGGGTGGGCAGGACCGGGGTGCATCCCCAGGCAGGGGTGGGGGGGCCGGGTGCACAGCACGGGTGGGGCATGACCCAGAGGAGAGGTCAGAGGTGATGGAAGATTCTGGTATCCAGCCTTGGCTGCTGCATTGGGAGGGAGCCTGTACCAGGGCTTTGCTTTGAGGGTGACACAGACCTGCAGACATTCAGAGTTTCCTGACCATCTATTGTTCTGCCCTGGTGGTCGCCGAAGGGAGGGAGGGTGACAGCCACCCATTTTACAGAGAGAAATAGGAGTCTCGGGTCACTGTGGCTGGATTCTGATCCTCACCGGTTCCAGTTCTCTGGCTCAGAACGGGGCGCTGGTAAAATGTGCTTCTGGCTCCCTGGTCCGTAGGCTCAGCACCCACCCACCCGCCCAAAGGCGCTTGTCCTGAAGCGCCGGGGGCAGCCTGCAGCTTGGGGAACGCCACCCCTGCAGACGGGATGAGGGCTGGTGGTCCTGTCCTGTCTCCGCAGGCTCAACAGCTCTGGCCAGGACAGAGTGGAAGGTGGGAGGAATTTGCCCCACTCCCAGCAAGTCTGACACCCACAGCTAATGTCCCCTGCTGTCCCTCCCCCTCTCCTGTCCCCAGGCCGTTCCTCTTCCAGCAGCCCGAGGCATCCCAGACCACAGCTGTCTGCAGTGAGTCAGCCTGAGTCTCTGGGCTGAGCCAGGACTGCCAGAGGGAGGTGGGGAGAGGGGTGTAGGCTGCCCGGCCCTGCAGCTGGCCCTGGCCTAGTCCCCCCCAACCTCCCCAGTCTGGGGTCAGCACCTTCCTCCCTTGCAGGCAGTGATTTTCCATGATGATGAAGGAATAAAAAAGCCACTGAGGATTCTGAGTGGGAGTCCCTGGTCCCCATCACCCCACTGAGCACGGCCGCTTGGGTTTCCTGGCAACTTTCTGCTCCATCCGCAGCCGTCCCTCCCCTGGGCTGGGCTGCTCTGGGGCTGTTCCTGGGATGGGGAGCGGGGAGCTTCGGGGTAAATAATGACATCAGCCACCTAGACAGGCGGGGCCACTGTGTCAAGGGGCCCATGTCAGGTTCCCTTCTCCCAGAGCTGGGGTTTGTCTTGGAATCGGAAAATCCTCCCCACATTGCCCTGTGGCCTGCAGGCCTGGCGTGATCAAGGACCCTGCCCTCCTGCTATCCCCCTGTCTCCTCCATGCCAGCCTTGCTGTGTCCCCTGCCTGGCTCACAGTCTCCACACCTTTATCCCCCGGGGACTCATGTCTGGGACAAATGACGCCTCCTCCCTGGGCCTCCCACAGAGCCACAGAGCATCCCTCCCCGACCCCACAGTGTTCATTTGTGGGTAGGGATTAAGAGCAGAGCTCGAATTAAAGCCCTGGCTCTGACACCCGCCGGCAGAAAACCTGACACAGTGGCCTCCACTGGGGTGTGACTCCATGAAGGAGGGCCTGGCCGGCCACAGGCTTACAGCACACATTTCTCCTTTCTTTTCTTTCTTCCTTCCTTCCTTTCCTTTCTTTCTCTCTCTCTCCCTCCCTCCCTCCCTTCCTTCTTCCCCTCCTCACCTCCCCTCTTTTTTTTTTTTTTTGAGACAGGGCCTCGCTTTGTCACCCAGGCTGGAGTGCAGTGGTGCGATCCTAGCTCACTGCAGCCTTGACCTCCCAGGGTTGAGGCAATCCTCCTGCCTCAGCCTCCCAAGTAGCCAGGACTATGGGTGCACGCTACCATGCCTGGCTAATTTTTTAGGTCTTTTGTAGAGACAGGAGTCTCACCATGTTGTCCAGGCTGGTCTTGAACTCCTCAGTTCAAGCAGTCTTCCTGCCTTGGCCTCCCAAAGTGCTGGGATTACAGGCATGAGCCACAGTGCCTGGCCCAGTTCACATTTCTAAGTAAATATGGGAGGCCAGCCAGGCGCAGTGGCTGTAATCCCAGCACTTTGTGAGGCCGAGGTGGGTGGATCACCTGAGGTCAGGAGTTCCAGACCAGCCTGGACAACCTGGTGAAACCCCGTCTTTACTTAAAAAAATACAAAAATTAGTGGGACGTGATGTCAGGTGCCTGTAATCACAGCTACTTGGGAGACTGAGGGAAGAGAATCGCTAGAACCCAGGAGGCAGAGGTTGCAGTGAGCCGATATCATGCCATTGCACTCCAGTCTGGGTGACAGGGCAAGACTCCATCTCAAAAAAAAAAAAAAATATATCTATATATATATGTGTGTGTGTGTATATATATATGTGTGTGTGTGTGTGTGTATGTATATATATATATATATATATGAGGTCACTGGAGGTTGTGGAGCCACTGTGAGAGTGGACAAGGGTGGCCCACATTCCTAGATGAGTTGCCTGGAGGCTGTATTCCCAGACCTCAAGGGGGGGTCCCCCGCAGAACCCAAGCACTGTCATGCCAATGACACAAAACTGGTCTTCCTGGCCTCTCCCATCCTGTCCATCCCAGAAGCGAGACTGAAGCTTCAGACCCGACAACCCTGGGTTCAAATCCAGCCTTGGAAGCTTGCTTCCTGTGCACAGGCAAGCCCCATTGCCATCTGTTTCTTTCTTTATTTTTTTTGAGACAGAGTCTTGCTCTGTCACCCAGGCTGGAGTGCAGTGGTGTGATCTCAGCTCACTGCAACGTCCGCCTCCTGGGTTCAAGCGATTCTCCTGCTTCAGCCTCCTGAGTAGCTGGCATTACAGGCATGTGCCACCACGCTCAACTAATTTTTGTATTTTTAGTAGAGATGGGGTTTCACCATCTTGGCCAGGCTGGTCTCAAACTCCTGACCTCGTAATCTGCTTGCCTCAGCCTCCCAACGTGTTGGGATTACAGGGGTGAGCCACTGCACCCGGCCATGATCTGTTTCTTTTAACCATAAACTGGGAAGAACTTTGAGCACATCTTAGTCCAGAACTATCAGGGAAGGGGCACTGAATGCCAGGCCAGAGGAGGGTTGCATGAAAGGCTTGGCCCCAGCTACTCAGGAGGCTGAGGCAGGCGGATTGTTTGAGCCGATGAATTCGAGGCTGCAGTGAGGCTGTGATCACGCCACTGCACTCCAGCCTGGGCAACAGAGCGAGACCCCATCTCAAAAAAAAAAAAACAAAAAAGGCGCAGCCATCCCAAGCTGCTCCCAGCCGCCTGCCCCTCTGGGTGGCCTCCACTATTGGCTGAGGACGCACTTTACCCCCGCCAGGGCCTGGGGAGTCTGGGGAAAGGGACCCGAGTCTAGTCCTCAGGGGAAGCCGCCCAGTGAGCAGCAGGGCGCGAGGAAGGCTTCAGCCTCGAGACTCCATAGGCCCTGGGCTCCCGTCCCCAGAAACACCAGTTACGAGCAGGGACTGGCCGTGGTGTGTTTGTGGCCTGCACACCTCCTGCCAATAATGACTAAGTGGCTAGAGCTTTGGGCTGCCCCCCTGCCGCCCTCTGGGGCTCGGGCAGGTGCAGGTGTGGATGCCCACCCTGGCTTGGCCGCTTCCCACCTGGGTGGCTTCGGACACAGGATGGACTCCTCAAAGGAGCCACCTCCCATCTGAGAAGCCAGCGTGATCCTCCAGGGGCTGCTGATGCACACACGCTGCCCCGGTCCCGAGTGAGATCACCCTGCCCCTGGGGGGCGTTGGGGGCTTCGCTGCTTAAGTTCACAATCCAGGGTCGTCCTTGTCCTGCGTGCCTCAGTTTCCCCATCTGTAAAATGGATGGTCCTGGGGTTGAGCCTCAGTGCTGCAGGGACCAGTGTGGAGCCCCACATCCTGGGGCCTGAAACTTTACTCCCACCTCAGCAGGGCTGGGCTGAGCCATCAACAAGCCTCTGGCCGGCCTCCATCATTCAGGAAAGAGCCGGTGACCGAAGGGGCAGCTCTCAGAGGGAGAACAAACGGGGGCGGGGGTGGGATGGGGCGGGGCTGGAGGCCACCGGCCTCAGGCTGTCCTGGGCACTCAGCCAGCGCTGGGCAGTGAGTCAGGGGCCAGGCATGCGGAGTGGGGCCTCTCCCGGCCCTGGAGATCAGGCACCTCCCGGAACCCGCCCGCTGGGCCCCCACCAGGCGGCGTTCCTCTCCCACTCACTCTCCCC